GACAAGTTATCAAATATATGTAATTTCCATTCCATGGTAGGTTAAATTATTTGGTCAAACTTTTTTGTCATTTTAATGGACTAAACTGGAAAACAAAATTGACCAAATTTGCGGTGGATTCTCCCAGGGTCTTTATGGCTACACCGCTGACACTAGCCGTGAAGACTCTGGGCTTGAACATGAAAAAGGCGCTATTTATAATGATTAGTGCCCATCCTCCTCTGATCTATTTCGCTCATAGCCAGTTCAGAGTAGTTTTAATTCAGTGTGCAAAGGTGCMGTTCTATATAGTACTGTAACGTATGGAAGCCCACGTAACTAATGATCGAATTTAACTCTAGCAGTTCGAAATGAATTCGACTTTGATTGTAAAACCATTCAAAACTCTCAGAAACTTTGATGGATTAGCACTCTGGCTTTCCCTATCTCGATATTTGGTTTTGCAAGCATGAAAGCACTGTATATAGGCCGATATATGGAAAGTAATAATAAAAAGAGGAATAATACCAGATTACAAACACTAAAAAAAATAAAATAGTACAAAACAGTACATGAATCCTTTTGTTTTTTGTTTCTAATCGAGTTTTCAAGCAGTAAATGGTTGTTTCCCACCGATGATTTTAGGATTTCTTGCATCCTGTGATGACATTTATCAATGTAAGTACTTACCACAGAATAGACAAAATTTTCGGCAATATGTTCGTGCCCATCTGATCATATGACTATTCCGGCAATGCTCCTTTCTGATCAATCGTCCGCACATTTGTGGCGGGCCAAGCCCTGAATCTCTGCATACTTTGCAAAAGAARTAAATAAAACAAAGAGGAGCATGAGGACAATCGCATACTTTAGTTTTAGTTGCTTCAATGGAGATATTGATTGAAAACCGATCTCACATTTGTCCCTGACTCAGTCAGCTAGGTATTAGTTTGTACATAATATGCATGCAGTCAGGCTACTTGACCCGTGCGACTKAAATGTGACCTCCCAATGAGGTCATTACATCATTTTAGTGTATTATAATGCATTTTATAAAAATTTTGATATATAACGCGCTCTCTGATTGGCTGACGACCGTGTTTATATCAGAGTACAGAGACACGGCTTACCGGCAAAATTTTCTTTTCGCTCGAAAAATTTTATAAAAGAAATATAAAACGGCCGCTTGTGTCTCTGTCCTCTGATATAAACACGGTGGGAGTTGAAAAACACTCGAGAAGCAAGAGAAACACTCGCTACGCTCGTGTTCCTAAGCTTGCTTCTCTCGTGTTTTTCGAACTCCCACCGTGTTTATATCAGAGGACAGAGACACGCGCGCCGTTTTATATTTCTTAATTAATAAACTGTCTATCATGCCATAGAGAATGCTGCAATACCATTTCTTTATCACTGAAATGACTTGGAAAAAATACTTGTTTTTAASTTGATGCTCGTTCAGTAGAAATCCGCCATTGTTTACTTTTTTAAACATGCGCCAAAAACTGGTTATCATAGCTACATAGATAAGGACATCGAAATTAGATTCACACAGAATCCATACCAAAATTTGCCCAGATAAACTTTAGGAAAAGTCCAGAAATTTCAGCGCTGTAGCTGTCTTGGCTCAAAAGTTATTGTCATTTTTCATTGGAAGGAGCAGTGAAAGGTACAAAAGTATATCGAATAGGGTGAAGTACTSAGCCTGGTTTGCATTTGGGTGAGCATTTACGTAACAGTGTTTGTCCTAGCTTAACATTGTTTCCCAAAGATGTTTTTTTTATTATTATTTTAGGGTTGCCCGCCAAAAAAAAAAAAAAAAAAAAAAACTTGCTTACACATTTTATAGCGAAGATACCAAGGTGTTAGTTGTAATGAGTGCTTTAAATTTTCCATACATAACTCACCTGGCTCATCAACAGAACGCATATTTCGGAGGATACTGGGATGGTCTAAAGAAATAGAAAAGCATAAGATATTTCTTTCTATATCATTTTATTATGACCTTCATTTGAGCATGAAAGTGTTGTTATTTTTAAACTCAGCAAATATTAAATGAGTCTGGTCTTCATTGAACATTGTAAAAACTATACTTACTAAATAGTACTAACTGGGTGATTGATTTGCGACCAGGCCTGCATATGGATTCGCCAAGGTTGTAAGCCAGTGAGCCCGTGCATTTTTGTTAAGCGGTCATATTTGAAAGTGTAAATAAAGAAAAGGGAAAACCCGCCAGCTCGCCTTTCATTCAGACAAACAGTACAAGTCGTGCTGAATTTATTTACATAACTAAACAAAATGATTATAGAAATAAACCTTTTTAGTATCGGAATGCTCATATGAAACATTCTCCACCTTAAATACACACGTGTTTTTCAGAAGGGAACTTTTTTCACGATGGAATTTTGTTTTGAGTCGTTTCGACATAAACAGTCGCTATCAAGACGTTACACTAAAAACCCCAGTCACCGTTCTAGCTCTCGTTGTATAGTAAGTTCAAAGCTAGTAAATGTGTAACTGACCTGTCGAGCACGCTTGCGGCTTATTGCCGAAAATGCGACAAAGGATGAACTACGACAGTTGATTTGTACCAAAAATATTAAACGCTATGGAGATAAGCTGCTCTAGCTCTTCCAGGTAATGTTGTAGATACCTCAAAGCTTAGAGGAAACAAGAGCTAAGAAGAAGGATTTGCAATGTCTCCTCCAAAGATATGATACTTTGGACCTGAACGTCGCTTCAACGACCTTCTGAAGTCTTCTTGAAGTCGGCCATTGCTTCGCATGCAATGGAGAACCCGCGAAGAAAACAGAACAATTATTTATATCAGGGAGGGGAGTGTCGTGGTCTTAAAGAAAAAATTATTTGCTATTTCATTTTTAAGATAAAATTCTATTTCTATAACCATAAATATTTGATTGACATTTAAAAGCTATTTTATAAAGATTTTCACTTTCTCTTTGCGTTTTAGCTTCRATTTTTCGGATAGAATAAAATGAAAGGCAGCCTACTCCACTGGGTCGAGTTTTTCTGAGCAAATTCCTCCCTAAGGAGGAATTGTCAGCTTTGCGCTGATTGGCTAGTCGCATTTTCTCAAATCACCCAGAAGCTATATGTCAATTCTATTGCCTAATCTACACTACATTGAGCTATTTAGCACTTTCGGGTTTAGCACGCACTTTTTGGAAAGTACTTTGAGCGCTGGCTTGTCACCTCTGTGGGTTTTTGATCGCGAATCTCGGTCGGGGCGCCATATGTGATTTTAGTTTCTTTGCGTTCTCTCTCCCTTGCTTAGAGGGTTTTTCCGGGTCTTTTCCGGTTTTTCCTCCCTCAGTAAAAACGAGCCATAGTCTATCTACTGTGCTCCGCGATCAGTCGACGTTACTACAAGGACGCGCCTAGCCGGCAGCACGCCTATGTGTAAGTGTATGTAAAACGTGTCTGTAATATAGCAATTCGACTTAAGAGCGCGTCGAGCTGCGWCTATTGCAATTCAGCACCCGTGCTGCCATGAAGTACGATTAGCACCAAACCCCTTTTTACTTCTTCATGCTTTATTGTGCTTGCAATCTAAGAGGTTATATCAATAATAAATTTACCTGATCGAGCTCTGTAGCATGAAAGAAGAAAAGCTAAAACTTGAATGTAAAACCACAAACTCGTCACAATCATATTCTGTAAAAAAAAAAACAAAAAAAAAACAGCCCATTGTTATAGGTTTTCAAATGTTGTAGGATTTTGAAATATTATTGATTAACGGACTCACTCACAAAATGACTCGCATTGGATAGATGCTTACAACTTGTGTAGGAAGTGAATTAGAAACAACAAAAAAAGGAGTGGAAACGAGGCTAGGGGGCGCTGTAGGAGGTAAGACAATTAATGGTTTCCTGGCTTCAATCGTGTTCTCCCTATCCCACATGTTTTAATCAGAATATATATAATCAAACACAAAATCTGTTTTGTATTCCTTAAATTAAAGAGCTTACTCAGAAGTTTCAGGCTGAAATGTGTTTTTTTAAGTGAAGTGTGGTTAAAGTGAAATTTTCTACAGTTCTAGTTTCTATCAATACGCAGGATTTTACTGTATTTCGTCTAGGCTTGTGGTTGCAATTTATATGATGACGACATTTCCAGAGAAAGCGTTCGAGCAGTATAGTCAATATACTTAAACGTTAGGTTTACTTTGGTGAAACTTAGAATTAAACCGCTTAAGATTACTTTATGATTCCAAAAGCTTCAATCATTATGTGAAAACATATGCCAAAACTATTACCGGCACATTTGTAAGAATCGTAATAAATAAGAAACTTTAATTTAATAAACCACAATTTGGAACGAACGACAAAAGAGACTCCTTCTGCATGCTAAACAATACCAACAAAGTGCCATCTTCTATAGCTTAAATCAAGAGATTGGGCGGTATTCTCCAGCAAGCAACACTAGAGCAGCAACATTGAAATTTTGATATATATTTTTTTCTGATCCCGTAAAAATTGTGAAAATGCTCTATAAAAATCTGTAAATTTTCACGTTATAATTTCAGTGTAATCTTCACTCATGTAATTGCAATCGATAATTTTCTCAAGCTTTTTATTTTATTCATTGTTTATCCACTTATAATATATTATTTTGAGTAACTCATGTTCTTCGTGGCTTGCTGTTGCATTAAAAGCAAATTTATCTTCGTATTTAACCAGATCAACCAAATGGACATTTTATTTACCAAACTGTTACTGATCTCTTACCTTGAGTAATTCAACTTCTTACTTAGACCTCAAGTTGCGTAAGTCTTTATTTCCAAATGATTGGCCCAGGATCATCAACTACAAGAGTTGGATCATCAACTACAAGAGAAAACACCTCTTCGCTATAATGTTAGGTTAGAAGAGTAACGAATAAGGCATCCATTTATCTTATTTGAACACAATGTTCTGACTCAGCTGTTAATAGACACTGATGATAGTCTGTATTTCACAAAGGATAATAATTGCAAATAATTGCCACGAAATCATTCTCTCATATCAGACTACCAAAAAGTAGACAGCGCATCTGGGATCAGGTATGACGTCGTGATGAATTGTCTTCCAATTTTAGCATAATATATAATATAAATGATAGATACGAACGAAAACTCTCTCTAGAAGAGCAGTTATTGATATTTCTGAAAGGTAAAGCAGACTTTCGATTCAAAGAACTTGCAATTAATGCAAATGCAAGCAGATGCAAACAGCGTATACGAATTGAAAAACCACTAAATCCGAAACTAACTGATCTTTATTCATGCGTGCATCCATATAAATAATAATGTTATATTAAAACTGAACCAGCTGTTACTAGCCGTATTATATTCCAAAAAATATATGCCACTCAAAATTTGTTCACCCAGGCATTTCACATGCCATCAAGATTATTGCTATTTTGAGCTTGGTCGTACACTATTGACGTGGAGCTGTCAAAATAACTATGTTCGGTATTAACGGGGATTTCCATTCCCTTGGTGAGTCGGTTGTATGTACTACGAATGCAAAAAAGTAATATCCTATTCGCTGGATAAAGTATTTTGTACTAGCGCTATTCACCATACTTATTGCAACCGATCCCTGAAGAAGTGGTTCTTGTTCTTGAACTTTCTTCTCAGCCAGCTTGTACATACGGAAGGATACAATCCGGTACTAGAAAACGATTCACTGTTTAGTTTGGCAGTACGTGAAGTAGTAGGGGTGTGTGCAACATTGCCGAAAGAATTATAATATTTACTATTTAAAAAATATATATAACTCTTCATTCCAATTTATTTGCTCTTAAAATTCATTCGTTTAATTGAGGAACATTTATACATTGTTTAGATTACTTATAAAATAGCTAGACTGATCTCTCGGAGCAAGCCACGCCGCATCACTTGACAAACATACATGCTAAGAAGATCAAAGTTTGAATTTTAACTTAATTTTAACGTAATTTTATGTTTTATGTTTAACTTTATTCCTCTCGGATTTAAATTTCTTATAGATGAATAATCGTTTGACATTATTACAAGATAATATACTCATGAACACTTTGGTTTTGTTCAGATAAGACTTGCAGTCCAAAAAGGCATATTAAATGTTAATTGTTCTAAACTCTTAGGAATTCTGTTTATACAAATATTTCGTGTTTCAACCTCAAATAGCAGTTGTTTCTGCTGTTTCTAATAGCATCTCCATCAAAAGGTTTTTGATCAAAGTCGTTGTAGTGCTTGTTCTTTCTTTATCACAGAGTGAAAGGACCTCGTCTACCTACACAAATATAATGAAGAAGATTAAATTGGCCAGTCAAGCTCCATTACATTTGTTTGACATATTGATGTTGCGTCGGTGTTTCTAAAGAAACAGTTGTCAAATACTGTCTCATAATTACTTCTTACTTTGTTAAAATTCACCTTATTTCACAAATTTACTTGGCATACTCTAATTAAGCCTGCAATAATTGGCGTTTAAGGAATTGGCTTTTTCAAACTCTGTACTTAGTTTTAATAGTTTAGTCTTAATAAAAAGATCAAAGAAGCTAGACATTGACATAAAGTTGATGCTGAAATGTCACCCAACCTGTCTAAACAGTGCCAAATCGTTACAGGCCTTCAGGAATATTTTAAGGAGACGACCGAACTGTATGATGTCCGTTTTGGCGTAATATCCATCGTCATAGACGCGCAGTTTATTGGCTCTAGAGAAATCAACCAATACAGCTCTTACAGGGACGGCATTCTGAAATATAGCAAGCGTTCAATAAGATAACAATGATCAGAAACACGAACTAGTCACAAGAGCTAGTTCATATAGAAGTAATTTGATGCATTCTTAGAAAATTCACCTTAGATTCTCCTTCACGGACAATGATCGATCGAGCATTGATACTATTGTTACTGAAGCCACAATCCTGTAGAAATTCTATGGCAGAGATGATGTTAAGGGACAGAGAACACAAGATACTGGATGAAAATTCATCTTCGTCTTGAAGGAAATTCTCAAGGACTTTGTTTGGCACGTATTCGTAGCAAATTCTAAAGAAAACGTATATCCCTATCAGAACCTAGTGCGATAATCCAGGATTCTGTTATTCGATGTAAATAGTTTTTTTGATTACCATTAGCCCGGCATTACAGTGCATAATATGGGTGAGTGGTTTTCATAAACAAAACTAAAACTTACAAAGACGCACTCTCGATTTCTTTTATATTGAATGGTTTTCCATCTGTGAGGTGTTCATTGGCTGCAATCAATCAAAACAGTTAACGTTAAAAGTATGACTCACTATAGTCACCTTTGATAGTGACGAGTTTAAACATTTTCGTTGCCCTTTACAGCCTGATCCAGCGACGACAGGCTGCAGATTCCTTTTCTGTTCCTGGCCAATTGGGAAGAGCCTTCTAAGACTCATTAAAAGAGAGAGACTGACTGAAAAATATACATGCCAAAGATCTGTCATTCAAGTGTAGATCTAGAAGAACTTTTTTTTTTTTTTTTTTTTTTGCCTTTATGGATGAAGATATTTGCATGATAACAGTTCTTACCCAGACAGCTCCATCGATATTCGATGATGTTTTCATGTTTGTGTTCTTTAAGCTCAGATAGAATATCAACCTCTTTCTTAAAAGCATCCAATTTGCCTTGATTGAAGTACTTGATAAGGGAGAGTTCTTCATAGCCATGTGACTTTGCTTTAGCCAAGAAAAGGCCCTAAATTATATAACGAAAATCAATTGTAGTTCTTTGGGGTTTTTGGTTCTTCTAAGTTTCCTTATAATTTCATCTTATGCAAAAAGTATTGAAAACTCTAAAAGTACTATGAAAAGAGAGTGAGAAAGAAACAGAGGCGTCTGGGTTCTCCACCAGAGTCTGTTGTTACTACTGTATGAAGAACAATATTAAAATTACAAAGCCACCTTTATTTTCATGTCTCAATTCAGCACTTTATGAAAAAAGTAATAGCTCTATAAATTCACCAACCTCTCCTTCGAAATATTTTTTTATGTCAACTTTTTCTAGAAGCTTTATTGTGTAGCAAATCTTGGACGCTTTCTTCTCTCCGTCAACATCTATATTCTCAAGCAATTTCTTCAAGCGTAATGGTTTAGCTGGTAAATTATCTCTCATGTTGCCTCCTTTAGTAAAATATGTACAAAGAGCATAATTAAGATTGACAGTGAAAAGCTGCCTCTTATTGCTGGGTTATCATTTCACTCATCATTTCTTGTCTCGTGAAAAATTTCGAGCTACTGAATTATGAGTTTTCATAAATGCTTCTTTGCATTGCAGTGGCCAATTTTTGACCACTGTCTAGCAATGCCGCGGGGACTCACTAGACTCAATTAGTGAAACCCAGAAATATACCGCAAAAGAGGAAGCAGTTTCTGTTTCCTTCAATAAATTAAACGCCCAATTGATCTAAAAAACACTGGACATTGTTTCAAAATTATGAGTAGAGGTGCACTATAACTGCATTTTGTCATATAAAAACCATGCATATACTTATCACTATACTTATCCAAGCTGCCGTGATATTGACTATTAGGATCCCTGCCACTACTCCCCTACTCACGGAAAAACAACTTGTACCTTAATTGCTCCCTTTCAGTCAATTTTATATCGTGGGTATCGATTCGCGATACCTTCATACGTACGTACCACTTTTACTCTAACTTCGAAAAGGATTGTGTCTAAATACGACTTATAAAACTCATTAATATTCATAAGGCAAAACACAATAGAAATCATAGCCCATGAAGAGAGTTGTATATTACATACAGATTTCTTGTTCATTTGCATAAACTTTTACTCTGATTTTCTCAGTCAGATTGAATTTTTTTTCAAAAGTTTCTTTAAAACCTGAGCTAATTTACCTTAACGTTTCATAAGTAATATACAATATTCGCGTGCGATCTGTATGAGGATTTAAAACAGCTCGCTTTCAGCTCGCTGTTTTAAATCCTCATACAGATCGCCCGCTCATATTGTATATATTACATACAAAACTCCTCCTTTTTGTCTTATGAATACATTAGATCAAGGAGTGGTATTAACTCATATTTGAAAAGTAATATTTTCCTTCGTCTTAATCCCGGGAGGGGTACTCCCATATATTTGCTATACGGGGACGTGCAGCTGTCCCCCTCCCGGGATCTTAATGCAAGTAATCCCTTACAATGAAACATAAAGAAAAAATAAATTTACCTGGATCTTGTCCTTTACTTTTAACAGTTTTGACAGTTGTGAAGGTGTAAAGGAAAGGATTGATGGACGAGTTGATTGGCAAAACAAATATTGCAATCCATACGTACATTTGTTTAGATGGGTCGCTGTAGATGCCGGTAATAGAAAGAAAACTGATGATAATAACAGGCATCCAGCAAAGAAAGTCAGTAAGGATGATGAATACAACTCTCTTTGCAAGCGATGATTCTCTCTTCAGAGACGTTGATCCGCGAACTGCATTTGCTGACCTCTGTACTGTCCTTAAGATTGCAATATAAGCAATTAGCATAAACATAAAGGCAATGAATGGAAATGCAAGGAAGAGCGCCACTGAGTATTCCCATCCTGCTTGAAGGTTTGATGATAGCTGTAAAGGCAAACATACTGATGCTCGTCCGTAAAAACCGACGAAATCGTCTTCGTCGTTTAGGAAATAATCAAAATCAAAGATCGGGATGATTGAAGTCACCAGACCAACAATCCACACACAGCCACAGATACACAAAGCTTTTCTCCAGCTGAGCTTTTTGACGGTGAATGGGAAAACAACGCAGATAAGTCGGTCATACGTTACAATCGCCAGAAAAGCTACAGACACCACGCTTGAAAGCATCGATATCATTCCCGTTATGCGACACCCAACTCCTGATCGCCAATCTACATCATGTTTGAAGTACTCTCCTTTCCATTTAATGTCAAATGATGCGATGGTAATCAGGTAAACTCCCATTAAGAAATCTGTAATTGCAAGGTTTGTCAGCAACAGAGAGTTAGTGTTCTGTCTCATTTCTTTGCCGGAAATCCTTTTGCAAATGACTAGTAAGTTGCCAACCAGTGCACTTAAGCCAAGAATCCAGAGGAATATTCTTAGAGCAGTGTTCTTCATTAAGTCATCACAGCTAGAGAATTCATTGGATTCCAACGACTCACACTTCACACCAGTAATGGCTTTTTCAGCATAGCAGCAGTGAATGAATTTGTCTACTTTTCTGCGGTTAAAAAAAGCTCATCATCATCGTCATCATGAAATTTATGGCTGGAAAGGTTTCAGCTCTTTGAAGCTAAGCTTATTCCCATCAATCTATATAACTACTTACAACGTTTTCAAACGTTTAAGATCATCAAAAAGGGATTGCGATATCGTGGATAATTTGTTTCCTTGAAGGTTTCTAAGATATAAAATACACAAAGAAAAAATCAAATGGTAAAACAAAACCTTCGATGTTGACATTTTTAGTCGATCGCACAAAATGTTATTGCATTCCCTTAGTTGTCTCGGCACRGCGTACAAACATTACTTCGCACTATTTACAGATAAATAAGGGAAAATAACAGAATTTGCAGTATTTAGCAGCTAATTGCACACTTTTAGAGTTTGTACTCAATGATAATTTTTTTAAATTTATCATTTACTATTTATCATTAAAACACAATAAAAAAGTTTACACCGACAAAGAATTAACGTCCGACGAAACGTCAGTAAGTTGTTTCACCTACTTTTTAATGCAGCATGCAGCTCATACTAATTACCGCTAGTTTCCACCATTTTATTCTCTATGTTTTACTTACAAATGCATCAAAGATAGAAGACCCCTAAAGGTATTTCTACTTAAGTGTTTAAGGCTGTTGTCCTTAAGGTTTCTGAAAACATGATGATATAAGAGTTTATTATTCTTCTGAATTCATTATTTAATTAATAATATTCAAAACATAGAATCTGCGAAATAGTAATTCATGTACTCTGAGCAGTTCCTGTTGTGAGCTTTTTTAAGTTTGATAAATATTAAGTTTTTTAAAAACTCTCGCCGTTTTTTCCTGGTAACTCTTGTACAAACCCTTTTAAAAGATTAAAAATTGATGTTGCTTGTGATTTTTACCATTTGGTTGATTATTTGGACATTTCATACCAAGAAAGTTCATACTTACAGGAATATAAGCTTTGAGAGATGCTGAAACACTCCATCAGGCAGTGAAGAGATATTATTATCTTGAAGATATCTAAAGTGAGCAATGGAAGTACTTGAGATCTAGTGTGTTACTGGATAATGACTTTGTCTATTCATATCAGAAATACGGCTGCCCTCTTATCAATGGACAGAGACACTCTATTCTAAATTTTTTGATGTTTAGGCCCTATGTTTTTTTACCACAATTATATTCTATAATCATCTATTTAGCTTGAAACCATTATAGTTTATGCTTACAGATGCGTCAAATTCGTTATTGGATTAAAAATATCTTGTGAAAGCCTCACAATGCGGTTCAATCGAAGACTTCTGCAACAAGAAACGTTAAAATGTAGTAGCTGGTAAAAACGTTGAAGTCAACAAAGGTGGATTTGAAAAAAATCAATTTATMTTATCATTGTATAAATAGTTGTTTGGATGTTAGTTAGTATTAATAATTTTTGCTGTTCTGTTCCAAGACCTTAGGCGTACTTACAAAACACTTAATTCAGACAAGCCAGAAAACGTATTTTTCGTTAGATCTTTAATAAGGTTTCTTCCCAAGTCACTTAAAGATAAACAACGATTAGTATTGTGATTTGTGTATTTTCCATCATTCTTTCGGTCTTGTTGAACGTTGTAGTTCCAGTAAGGTCTTTTATTGATATATTGTATTGTTTCTCATGGGTTTAATACTGTTCTATTTCTCAATAACGATATCATATACAACAATGACATTCTTTTCAAGATTCATCGATACTTACAGCGTTTTGAGGTGTTCCAATGGACGGAACGTCTTCTGTGGTATTTCCATTAGAAAGTTCATATTAAGACGTCTAAAATGTAAGAAAATAGATGTTTTTATCCTACTTACAAAAAAAGCAACAAAAACAAAATGAAAATAACCCAAGAGTGAATATTAGACAACAATGCTTACATAACTTCTATAGATGTTCCATTGTTAAATGCCTCTGGTTTGATGCGAAAGATGCGGTTGTTTGAAATGTCTCTGCAAGACAGTAAACCATAAAATCTAGAGAAATTTATTGCGCTTTATAGGTCATGATGCTTTTTGAAATCTGTACGCACTGATTAGAAAAAGAGTAAAAGGAAAAAGACATAAAAGAATAACTGGTACTTACACGTATAGAAGATTGGGCAAATTTGCAAAGGCATGATTTGGAATCGTATTGATTTGATTCTCTTGTAGCATTCTATGAAATAAAAGATATGTTGTCGTTAAGGCATGAACTCCAAAACTGTAACGCATGAAATAAATTCTGTTCCACTTTTGGATTACGTTAAGTATGCGAGTTCCTATTTATTTTTATTATTTACTTACAAAGCAGAAGTTTCGTATGGAATCTTGCTTGGAAGGTCGGTCAAGGATTTACATTTTACCGCAATTCTTTTGACATCTCCACTTAGATACCATCGACAATTGCAGCTTTCAGGACAACCTTTAAGAGAAAAATGAGTTGTTAGCTTTTAGAAGAAAATCAAATACTGACTGGAATCAATAAGAAGAGGCACGCATATAAAATCGCAATATTTATCAGCAACAACGAGCTACTAGTCTGCAAATAGAATTAGCTCTAATAAAAGTGAGGAAGCAGGATAGATTTTAGTCACGCGCGATATACAAGAAAAGTCATATGTCTCGCTCATCTTTTTTCATGTTCTAAATATTAAGAACATGAAAAACAGGTTAAAGAAGCGCAGTACTAATTTCATACAGCAAGCACGAGTCATGATTGGTTGATATGAGCTCCTTGTATCCCCTCATATTTATCTACGAAAGCAACATATATTTTGAAATAACTTTACATGTCGGGGCTATTAGTAAAAAAAAAACAGTGAAATAGGATTACTATAAAATCCCGCTTACGAAGAGCACTCTACCATGATTGTGCCATTTTCACTAGTGAAAGAACATGATGTTTTCAAAAGTAAGAAATAGATGTATTTTATGGATTATTGCATGATTGACGACTGTTTTACCTCTGGATTTCTTTGCACATGATTTGGCATACTTGGAAACTAAGAATTTTTAGAAAGAAAGAAAAGTGGTTTTAACAGATGCAAAAGAAAAAAGATAGAGATAGAAAGTAAAAGGATGCCTTTGCTTTAAGTATACTAACCTTCGATAAATCTGTAAGAAATATTGAAACCTCTTGCTAGACTTATGAAACCAGAATCAAATATAATAGTCATAGAATTGGACAGAGATCGGAGAAATTTTGGGGTTTTGTAATCGCAAAAACTTCCCAGCAATTTTCCCTCTCTTGGGTCTCCATCATAARCTTCAAGAGAGCTGGTTGTTTTTTCGTAAAAACCAACGAAAAAATAATTGAAGGCTAATTGAACCACGTGAGTTTCTGGTGCTGTGATGTGCCACGTGCAATGTATATTAGGAGGAAAGTAAGTTGGATAGTACGGAGAAGCGATGACACCAGGCCCTGAAGTAATATTTTTGCTGCAAACTGAAAAGAGAGATGCATTAATTAGGTCCCATCAAGATCAATGACTTTGCTGTCATCTTTGACTTTTCGTTTTGACATAATTATGCATACAGTAGAAATGATAATTACAACAGTAAAAACGACTGTCATCATCAAAGTCATCTGAGTACTCTTGAATCGATCCTGCCACTGGCGATTGGGCTTACACTGTTTTAAAACCCGTTTAAATTCACTATATTATGAGAAGTTGTTCACAGACCAGAGAGCTTTAAAAGCCCTTCTGCACTGCTTTGTATAAGTCTTTCTATCTGTGTAGAGTATCGACCGGCGATGAAACTTCCAGAAATGACGTTATTTCGAAAAGTTGCCCGAAGCCGACTGTGAGAGACGCGAGAGAAACCTTGCAAAACTTTTCACCTCATCATCATTATAATGAACAGTTTCATTTCATAGGAGGAGCCGACGGKTTCCTGCGAGAAATATATCTGTTCTTATGTCCCAGCCAGCTGTAAGTCACAGCTGGTTGCCAGCGAGAAATTCAAGAAAAAAGAACTCTCCAGGCAAGGAACACTTTCTAAGAGTTTTTGCCAGGAAAATAAAAAATTCCTAACTAAAAAAACTATAAGCCTTTTTTGACCATAAAAACGTTTGCCAGGAACAAAATTATTTTAAAGAAGGAAGCGACACATTTGCTTGTGAGATTGTCAACAATGTAGCTCAAAATCCCTTTCCCAGGAAAAATTCGTACAAGAACAGTTATTTAGAAGAACAGACCCCGTTGACTCCTCCTGATTTCAAATGCTTGAATTTTTAAAAGCCTGAGTAACTAATTTTCTATAGCTATTCCCCCTTGCTTGCAGGTAGCATTTCTGTCCAACGACTATACTATGTTACCATGGTCGAGTCGTTCCTGACCACATGGTTGATTGCTTTGGTAAGCATAGCCAAGGAGAATAGCACCTGATGTGCTTGCAATGTTTCCTCGTATGCTGATCTGAAGAAAGCGATAAAAAGGTTGATAATTTAGGTATCTAAACGATATTTATGACTATTTATTCAATAAATAAATGAAAAATGATTTAAATTGTAATTGTACTGAACACGATCTATAACTCGTTTTAATTACCTGATAAGACATTGTTGATCTAATAGGCACACTTCCTAAATGCCATTCACCATTAGCATAATCTCTGGCATACCAAATAGGATTTATCATTGACTTCATATCCTCTTTATTGATAACTTCCACTTCTAAAGCCTTTTTACTCTCTCCAAGCATCATATATGTGAAATAAAAGCACAGACTAGCATATTTTGAAGTCTTAGACATTACTGGACCAATCAAAATGCTCTCTGATCTTCCTTCAAGTAACATCGCTTTATCTAAAATTAAACGTAAAGAATGCCACATTTATACCATTCCATATATCGACAGATAATAATAATTCATTTTTTTTCGTTGTAAAATGCTTTTGCAAAAGTTTATGTGACGTTATCCCTATAAGTCTATGATTCCCCCCCCCCCCCCCCCCCCACACCAAGAAAATTTTGGCTCCGCCACCCCTGATCATGTGTTTTATAGAGTTATTGTGTCGCATTTTAGTTACCTTTTCGTACTTTACAAGACGCTGGTGATTTCCTTCTTACATTTTTCTCTTTTAGACCACTAAACAATTGCCAAGAAACAATAACAGAATTGTTAATATGAGCTTCACCACAACCAAATGCCATTCTTGCTAAGATATGATCACCCAATGCAGACTTCCATATATTCAAATATGCTAAAACAGGAGCAGTATCAGCATTCTTTTGATTCACATATCCAACTTGTAATCTTCCTTCATCTGTAACGAGATAGTCCCAAGTGATATCGAAAGTCAGTGCCGCCCAGCAAACTGACGAGTTAGTGTCCTAACATACCTCTATAACTACCCTTGAATTTCTGCTGGCGAATAGCAATCTTTCCATCAAAATAGAAGGAAATTTCTTTGATATTGACCTCGATGCAATAAAAATGCCAAGTTGTCATCATGTTAATGTCGAGTTTTCTGACAATTTAGAATGAAAAAAAGTACATTAGAACTTTTAGAAGGTTTTGCATGCAATTGACATTTTTACTATTTGGAATTTTTCTTTGCAATAAATACAAAATCAGTAAGAAAGTTGTAAAGTGTGTTTTAGCCAATAAGATGCACAATTAGATGTTTAAAATATTGATCGAAATATTGAACTCTCTATGTGTTAAAACTTCCAGCAAGAGAAATTTAGTACGATATTGCAACAATCTGCTGGGAGACAAAATTTAACTGCAACTCCTTTATTTTAGTCATTTTACTTACAGAAAAGAGCTTTTGGAAGATAGTTTCACAGTAATAGCGACAATCTTTGAGATGTTCATCATGATATACCGATCTGAAGACTTCCTTTCCTGGAGTTTTACATATATCTCTTCTCCATCGTGTTTTGTCCATAGACACATTGTAAATACAGAAGGAATGTATTCAGCAACTAAGTCGATAAGTGGCGTTGAAGAAGGTGTAAGATGCAACTCAAAGTCCAATGAATTCGCTAAAATGACATTCAAACGAAATTACTTAGTATCCTTTTAAAGAGCTAAAACAACGGGAAAAAAACAAGGAATACAATAAAAAAAGAACATTTAGGAATTTGATTTGAGGTCGCGATCAATTACACTGCGGAGTGATCCTGTCCTAGACATGCGTTTCTTTTTAAACCGTTTCTCACTAAGAAAACAGAATACGGTCGCTTACGAGAGTTGAAAGTAGGTAAACTGTACCACATAAACTCATCAATCGCTTATCATCGCATACGTGCATGATAAACGATGACGCGATAACGTCCACGCCGACTGTGTGTAATGGACCATTTGTTGACAACTATTAGAGTCATTACCTGAAGTAAAATTGTACTGGGAAACATTATCATATTTAAGCGACTTCACCATCCATTTGGTGCTTGAACTTCTCTCCTTTAATGAATCCCATAAATACCAGACGTCGAGTGGATATGTGGGCAAAACTGAAAAAAATTATTGTCATAATTATTCCAACCAAATGGTCACATTTCAGGATAAGCTTCATTCTAGGGGTGTATTTGGCCTTTTGCATCAATCGCGGTCACATGGAACTAAATACTCCATACTGGATGGCAAAAGAATGTAAACAATATCAAACACAATCCGAGTTGGTATTTTAATGCCATTCAGTATAGCGGATTTAGTACCATGTGACCGTTCTGCCCAAAAGGCCTATTATACTAATAACTAACTCCACTGACTGTGCAGAAGGGCGACATCAGTCATCAAACGATTTATGCCAAAGTGGAAAGTGCAACGCATTTGTTGTGTGAATTTTACTTTTGGCGCTATATTGACAATGAACCGATTTGGTCGTCAAGCCGTAGCTTCGATCCATGACGGAAAACCTCTATTGCACTTCAAAGTTCAAACGTCTTAGCTCGGACCACAGCTTGCCCCTTTCCAAGCTAGCAGTGTCCTTTTAGTAAATCCAAAGGAACATATATATCAGAATTTGAGCTTTTACAGACCTTAAGAGCCACTTCGCGCAAAAATCAGACATATCTTGGCAAGGCTCGAAAAATCAAATCTATTCATATTTTGTATATTGATAAGGTATAATTAGGTAACAATCGCTGTGTGATTAGTTTTTGAAAATATTTCATTTTTCGCAAGAAAATCGCTAAACAATGTCACATACTGGGCCTTTGCGTGACAAATGTTTGATGGCTAAAAATAGCACTCGAAATAGCCAAACTTTCTACCGAGCTTGTGTGAAATTTAAAATAGTAATTTCAAAAAATTAAATTGTTGATTTATAAGTAACTCTTTCTTATTTATTTCGTTGCTTTTCAGAGCATTTAATTCAAAAGAAAATTTTCTAGAACTCGAAGTGTTTACATATGTAGTTGTATATGCAAATTAGTACCTAGAAAAAAAAGATTATTTTTTCTATGTACAAGTATTTTGTTTGCAATGAAATTCGGCGTGATAACTAAGCAAGGTATGAGCTTTACAAAGAAATAATAATAAGTCTGGGCAAATCACTTTCAGGTGCGTAGGAGTGACTTATTCTAGTCACAATTATCAGCGTAAACACATATTTTGTCAGTTGTATTAACCCAACAATTTTCAAAGCATATAAACATCTAATCAACATTAAACGTATGTTATTGAAATAAAGAGGGCTAAGCTTATTTTCTTTGAACATTTTAGGCAATGTAAATGAATTTCGGTTGTTTAAAACATTTGGTGTTTCAACGGATTATTATCGCCAGAAGTATTCATTTCTATGCAACTGAGAGTGATTTGCCCAGACTAATTTTTATGTATTTGAAAAGCTCATCTCTTGTTTAGTAATCACTCCGAATTTTATTGCAAACAAATACTTGCACGTTTAAAAAATGATCGTTTTGTAAAGGTACTAATTTGCATATAAAAATACATATGCGAATATTTCGAATTCCAGAAAATTTTCCTTTTAATTAAATGGTCTGAAAATCACTGAAATAAATATCAAAGAGTTAGTAAGAAAGCTGCAATTTAAATTTTTAAAATAGCTATTTTAGTTTTTACATGAACTCGGTATAAAGTTTGGCCATTTTGAGAGCTATTTTTAGCAATCAAGCATCTGTCACGCAAAGGTCCAGTATGTGACTTTAATTAGCGATTTTCTTGCGAAAAATGAAATATTTTCAAAAACCAATTACACAGCGATTGTTACCTAATCATACCTTATCAATATACAAAATATGAATAGATTTGATTTTTTGAGCCTTGCCAAAACATTTCAGTTTTGTCTGGTTTTTGCGCGAAGCGGCTCTTAAGATTTTGATATTTCTTTATTTAACTTCATCTAGAGTGGTACACTCCAAAAACCTGTAAAATTCTTTGTCTATTGTATTTGTAATCCGTTGTGTGTATGTATGTAATAGAAACGTTTTGGTATTTTATGGTCAATTCTGAGTGCAGAAAACTATTTACTCGTGACCCGGCCCTAGGCCGGAAATGCAGCGCGTATAATTTTGTTGCTGTTTTTTTTTTTTAACATTTTTATTTCAAAAGACAAGAGATTTTTTTTTACAATCATTACTTTCACATATACAACTATACAACATACAAAAATTAATTACAACTACGTACAATAAAGAAAATACAAAACGATGCTGCATCTATCATATCTACATCTTATATATTTGCGCAGAGTAAAAGAGAATATTTTTTTTTTACCTTTTTGGATGGCTATCTTGCTTTAAATAAGAAATTATATTTTCATATTTTTTCAAATGGAGAGCCAGCCTTCCTGTCCTTTTGGCAATATTATATTCTATCTTTTCATTTTGTCTTATCGCCGATTGGAATTCATTTACCTGAGGAATTTTCTTCTTTTTCCTTGCTAGAAAAAGAGTCATATTGAAGACAATGAACAAATAATTTATGAAAATATTTCCATCTTGACCAAGCAGTATATTTACAATATTCAAATTTGGCAAGCCCAGATCTACAGATCTCAGCCAATTGTTACAACTATCATAAAACTGTTTAGTAAAAATGCACTCTGTAAAAAAAATGATCGACAGTTTCTTCTTCTTTGTGACAAAAACTACACATCGGGGAGTCCACTTTATTAAACAAAAAAAGCTTTTTATTTAAATATAGACAGTTATTTAGGATCTTATATTGAAAAGCTCTTAATTTGACCTCGTTTGTTGTTTTATAAATACTACGATAAACTGTCGTCCACTGAATGTCCTGGCAATCCGTTTTTTTAAGAAAGTATGTTTGAAATGATGGTTTTTTAAATTGTTTTTGAATAATTTTGTTAWAAATGCCCTTCGCTTTTACTTTGTCTAGAGTGATTTTTTTATTTGCAATTTCTATTTTGGGAAATTCAACCTTAGTGGCTATTTTTGGACCTTTTTTTATTTTTAATATTTTATTTTATTTTATTTTTAATTTTTTTTTATTTTAGTGCTGGTGTCATGCTTGTCGAGTGAAGAGGTCTGACTTTCTACGGCTGGCTCTTTACCGCACAAAAATTACTAAACTGACTGCTCCAGCTTTGAAAAGCTTAAAGTTCTTTTTTAAGTTTATTTCGCACAAGTTATGAGTAGGAGAGGCAGAGAGGAGATATCATCAAGCTCTAGCCAAGATTCGCCAGTTTCAAAGCATACAAAGATGGACGACCATGAAACGTTTGATGAAGACCTTGAGCAAGTTCCTACTTTAAGCATGCTTTACAAAATCATGATGGAGATAAAAGGAAATATAAATACCCTGGTGAATGACAGCAGAGAAGTTAAAGAAGACATAGAGAAGATAAAGCAGACCATGAAATCTCAAACAAGCAGGATTGACAGATTAACGAAAGAAAACGAAGAACACAAAGAAGAAATCAAACGTCTGGATGACGATAGGAATGAATTGCAGAACAGAGTGGAAGACCTGAGCGTATCTCAAGACAATTACGAGCAATATCAGCGGAAAMATAACTTAATAATTCAAGGTATCCCTGAAAGACAAGAAGAAGACTTAGAAGAAGCTGTCAGAGAATTGGGTGACGCTCTGAACGTAGAAATCGAATACAACCATATAGACATTGTTCACAGACTGTCATCCAGATTTACACCTAAGCCTATAATAGTAAAATTCGTTCAATACTCAGCGAAAAAGGAGCTTTATGAAGCCAGAAGAAAGTTAAAGTCATTATCTCTTGAACAACTTGAATCAACCAACTGCCTATATGGAGCTTCAAGGATCTTAATTCATTAACGAGAACCTAACGAAACAAAGAGCAGCGCTGTTTTCCGAAGTAAGGAAAAGAGCAAAACAGTACAACTAGTATTCAACCTGGACCCTCGACGGACCCTCGACTCAACACTGAGGACTTTTCAAAAACGTTACCAATAATTTGGGGAGGCGATTTCAATTTTATTACCGATTTGACACTAGAAGCATCAGGGGGAAATCCAAAGATCAAATCAGGGTCGATAGAACAGTTAACATCCATTCTAACAGATCTAGACCTGTGTGATATATTTAGAACACGAAATCCACGAAAAAAGGTTTTTACATGGAAAGGCAGAGGGCAAGATTTGCCGGATTTGCCGGATTAGCTCGCTAGTGGCAATTAATTTATTTAAAGATTTAAAGATTCTGTTGAGAAAGTGAAAGTAGTTCCAGTTCCTGCAACTGATCACTCAGCTTTGATAATAGAATTAAACTTTGTTCCTGAAAGAAAACACGGACCGTCTATTTGGAAATTCAACAATTCCTTGTTAAATGATAAAGAATATATTACAACAGTTATCTCAAATCTTTTGGAAGATATCAAAACACAATTTAAAGAAGATGAGGCTAGTGAAGACCCACATAGTAGTGAAGACCCACATAGTAGAAGGGAGTATC